TTTACCTGTATAACAGATGAATGAATGAAGAAAATGTGGTATTTACACAAAATGGAGTACTACTCTGCCATAAAGAGGGATAAACTTAAGTTAATTTGTAGAAAAAAGGATGCACCTTGAGACCAAAATATCAAACGAGGCCTGGGTTATATGGCTCATCAACACAGCATGCCTGCCTGATAAGCACGAGGTCATGAGTTCTATTCCTGGTACCAAAAACAAACAAAATATCAAATGAAATAAATCAGGCACACAAGCTTAAATATCATATGATTTCATTTACATAAGAAACTCAAAATATGAAGAGCAAAATAGAATATAGACAATAGGAAGTAGGGAGATAGATCTTTCTCAAATGGAAAAGGCATCAAAAGTTGGAAGAAGGGGGAGAGAAGGAATTAAGATGTACTATGTGTGTGTAACAACTTCACATAAGGAATGTAAATATTATGTACTACAAACATATACTACTAACTTTTTTTTAATTTAAAAAAAGAAATTGAGGGCCAGGGATGTGGCTCAGTGGCACAGCACCTTCCTTGCAAGTGCAAGGCCCTGAATTCGATTCCCAGTACAAAAAACATTTTTTTAAACACCAGATGGTACAACCATATCCTAGATTCATTTCTAGCTCATGTTACTTTTTTCTAAAGGTGGCCTGTAAATTATCTTCAATAGTGTATGAGCAAATTATTATTTCCTAATATGATTCACACTGAACATTTATTGGGAGCTGAGTGTGTGCACGCCACCAGCACGAGGTGAGCACTAATAACACTCTTTACACATGAGGAAATCAAGACGCAGGGATGTGGCATAGCCTCCCTAAGGTGATAGGGCCTGCGTAGACTGTCACTGTACCACCTCCTCGCTGATGGAACTGAAGACGGGGTGGGGATAAACAGATGAGAAAGAAGACAAAGGAAAGGAGTCTTTGTTGAGCAACAGGTACTCAAATATTTGCTCAGTGAATGACGACATGAAATAAAATGGAATGGATGGCCAAGAAGACTAGACCTTCCCGTTCTCAGACCTCTTCAGACATTTCAGTATCAGCGAAGAGGGCCAGTCTTTTACCCTACTCAGAAATTTGCCAATCCTGATTTCCTATTGGCTTAACATCTTGTATGAGGCGGTTGATGAAACTGCTGTGCATCACATTGTTGTATATTTTTCTCTTTTTCTTCCTCTCGTATAATCTAGATGATAGACCAACTGACTGAGTAGATTGAATTCTTTTTGATCCTACAGTGAATCTACTCTAAGGCTTTTATCTGTGAGCAAGCTGGATGGAATGTTTGCACAGTGAAATCTCTTAGAACAAAATGTGATCCCTTTTGCAATCATTCTGCCCAAAAGCACATTTATAAGTAAATAGGTTCCACTTTGTTCCTTTCAAATCCTTGTTTCCATCACTCAAGTACAGAGTTCTAAAAGATTAGATTATTTTAAATTATTTGAATGCTATTTGCTGGCACTGTGCCCTAGTTTTCCTGAGTCATATTATTTGTGTTCATTCAGATTGAGAACTTCCATTAGTAGTTAAATCTTTTCTATCTTTTTTTCTGAAATTAAATGAGGTTATACCCCAGGACTGCAATATGAAGAACCTGTATTAGAGAGAGTAGAGAACCCCCAAAGTTACTTCCAGTTCTCCAGAGAGAATCTACTAATCTACTATCTTGAGTCAGATTTCCTTTAGTTCATAGTTTGGCAAAATAAATTCTTTTAGGAAACTATTGCAGTTTTGAAAAGGTAACACATAAAGAGACACTTCTTGAACTGACTCACAACAGCCCTGATAATAAAGGAAGGGGGTCTTTTACACCCAGAATTCCTGGACTGATTCTCTATTACACAAATACGACTTTGGGACATTTGTCCTATCAAAAATTTACTTGGTCTGGGGCCAGATTTAAACTGTCTTATTGCAGACCCCCTTGGCTTTGCACCAGATGTAAATGAAGAATTGAAAAGAGCACATTTCTGACTGGTTCTGCACACAGTACTCAGAGACTGCAGAGCCATACTGGATGTTGTGTTCTGTGCATGTGTCCTGGGTCTCCATGACTTTGACGGACTTTTATCTCATCTTCTACTCATTGACATACACTATTTGCTCCATGTAAGAAATGACACATAGAAAACGAGATTAAGATCTGAAATTTTCTCATCAAAATCAGAGCCAGAGAATTCAGAATGAAGAACAAGGTCTGAGCAGTGGCTGATATATTGAGACAGCCATTTCCAGGCTAAGACGAAGTAGATCCAGTGCATGCAGTGCCAGCTTATCAGCAATTTCTCAGTGCTCAACACGCACTGACAAGTTTTTGAGCTTTGTATCCTTCGTAGACCATTTGCATTTGGTTTATGGGTCAAAGATTCTATCTTTAAATATATTCATTCTAATGAGCAGTCAAACTTCTTTTTTTCCTTTTAGCGAAGATTCTAATGTATTTCTAGGCTTTGTTTTTCCTTCTTGTAAATCATGCCTTTTAAGGTAAAAGTTTTGGAAAGAAAATCCCAGTTCATTTTTTATTAGACTAAATACAAGCCTGAAAGAAGGTCTGGAAATTCTGTCCTGAAAGGCTCACAGCTTTGTCTTTTAAGAGCCATTCCTGTGCGCAGCATGGGCATGGAACAGAACTGCAGCAGAGAAGTTTTGGGTTTTCATTGTAATTACTTATCAGCATTTTTCTATTCATGCCTTAGCTTATGACTCAGAGTCACTGGCATTCTCTATTGAATGTGATTTTTCCCCCTCTATCCAGGTCTTGAAAGTCAAAACAGACGAAGGTTCAAGTTTCTCATAATCTCTTCCATGCCGATTCTTTCATTATTTTTTTTTAACCTTGTCTGTTTCTCTAGCCACAATGAAATAAAAGAGGCATTCTAAAATGGTCCTAATCTTCACAGCAAGGACTCAATAGCAAATAGCACTTACCAAAAGATGTTTTTCCCCATGTCAAAATTTAAAATGTATGTGGTATGTGTACTTAATGTCTAAAAGAATCAGAGAAGGATAAATAACAATCCATAGAAAATCAAAGTGTGTGTGGGTATGCACGTGTGTCTCAGTGAGTATGTGTGTGAACTCACGTACATGCACTGACATCCTTTGCATTCGGTTCTTCTAAATGTATGTATATGTGTATTTACTGGCACATGGTTTGGTTACCTATATGTATGGTGAGGTCGTGGTTAGTGGGACTAATCCTTGCATCTGTGGTGGAGACTGGAGTGAAACTAAAGGCAGGCACTTGATTTTCCTTAACAAGAGACAAAAAAAAAAAAAAAAAAAAAAAAGCAAACAGCCAGAAGAAGCGTGATGGCTAAACATGGTGATTCCAAGTTTTCTATGTTTCTGAATGAGGTTATATAAGTATACATAGCTTCTTCACAAAGAAAACAGGAAACCTCAACTATGATTCTACAGCTAGTCTTTGCTCAGAGTCCAAATTTCACTATGTCACTTATGCAGCATCTAAAGATCTCAGGTGCAAGCTTGTCCCTTTCCTGTATTTATATCACTCTCTCTTCTTTTAGTTTTTCATTCTTGTTTTTTTTTTTTTTTTTTTTTTTTGTCTTTTTCCTTTTTATCGGTACCGGGGATCGAACTCATGACTGCCTGCTTGCAAGGCAGGCGCTTATGCCACTGAGCTAAACCTCCAGCCCCTGTTTTGTTTTGTTTTGAGACAAAGTCTCACCATGCAGATTGGTCTTGAACTCACCTTGTAGCCTAGCCTGTCCTTGAACTTGAGACAATCCTCCTGCTTCAGCCTCTGGAGGGCTAGGACTACAGGCATGCACTGCCCCCTCCAGCATTATCACTCTGTTTTCTGTAAATCTCTCTTACAAATTTATGAATCTATGGTGGAGTCCCACATTTTGCTGTTCAATAAGGTTGGGCAGAAGCCTGAGGGAATCAACCTAGACAAACTTCCTGTCAGATAGGTGCAGATAGTAGAGATGCCCATTGACCAGGCCTGGAGGATTCTGGTCTTTAGCCAGAAAAGTGTGTCTGGTGAAAAATGTCCCAACAGCTGCAGGAAACAGAGCCCAGAAAATAATAACAGCAAATAATTTACAGAAAATATAATCATACTCCTGCTCTACTGTGAAGAATATTGCATCACCAAAATAATGAAAATGCAAAATATAAATTGTTACATAATTCTGATATATATATTCATATGTATATATTCATATATATGAAGATGAGGTAAGAGGCAGATCTAAAACTGATGAACAATGGCAACACATGCATATTATTCATAAATATAGACCCTGAACAAGAACCATGACAAAACAGGACAAAGTAGCTGCTTTTGGACAGGGAGAAAGTACGCATGAAAGAACACAGCTTCAGCAATCCACTTACTACGCTTATCTCACTCTGAAGCCATGTATATGTATCACTTTGATAAGACATTTTTCTAAGTTGATTGTTGTCCAAAACTATCCAAATGCATAGGGAAGCCAGTATTTCTAACTTTTCATTTCCTATCTAAGGCAAAGCTACCACCACCACCACCATCACCCCAATACAGAGCCTTTCTTCATCCCCTGTGAACCACAAACATTGTATCTGGAGCAGTGAATTCCCCTGGACTAGGTGATTACAAAGGTCTCTTTCTCCAGGTTTCTGCATTTTCTTCACACACAGATTTTATGCACAGAAGGTGTTATCGATAGTATTCTTGAAGGAGGAATTTGTGTAATAACACTGAAATAATTTGCAATAAGAGGCTTAGCTTTTAAGGAAGTATACCCCTTCAGTTGCCAACAATAACCATAAATTTGTGTTCTAAATGAAGATATAAATATTAACTTGTGAAACGTTAAGCGACTCTTGCTTTTAAAGGATGAGTAACAGCCCCTTGGGAGTTAATACCGTTCCCCACTTGAATTCATTTGTACTTCTTCGCTGTTTATTTGCACATACTTGGCTTCGCATAGGTAATAAAAGATTTTTATTTCTCTCTGGGCTTATCCCTTAGTTACACACCAGATGCCTCACCTGAAATCTGAAGACCAGGGAGAGGCTGCTCTAAACAATTCTTAGAGCCAGAGAATTCTCTGAAGACAAAGGTTTTTAAGTCCAGTTGAAACAGAGAACTGTACAATGCAGAGGGAAGAACAGCTGCTATCCAGTTCTCTAGCCCTCACCCGCAGCCGCTACCCCGTCCCCCAGCTCAGAGAAACTAATTTCTTACTGTCCTCAGGGACAGAGATGCCAAAAGCACTCACTTCAGCCAGGTAAGCTGTGTTGATTCTAAAAGCAACAATGTTTGCCTCCCGAGAGTGGCACCTACGGCTTAGATCAAGCTTTTGTGTCTTTTGCATTTCGAAGCTCCTGCTGGGACAAATGGGCAACGAAGATAAAGTGTGGTGGTTGCTTAGTCAAGAAGGTCAAAAGCAATGTTGCCTGTGGAACTGTACTCTGTTATCAAAGAACAATTACAGGCCCTGAGTGGCAGGGAGTATGGTGACAACTCTCTAGTCACTATCAGAGAACGGAAATCAGAGCTGCTCTGTTATCAGCTCTACTGTTCCCCGCTTTAGTCCTCGACTAGCAAGTGCTACACAGTGAAGCCTGCATAATGGTTTGTTAATGAATGTTGAAATCACTTCAGCTTCCTGGGCCTTTGTGTCTTCTTATTAGGAATAAGGAGATCGGGCTGTGGGGAGTTAAAAGGATGATTGCTAATACTTATTTAACAAGTACTGGGCCCTGTTGTGAATTAATTAAATCTTTTGTCATAAAAATTATATTATTTCCTTTTAACATATAAGAAAATCAAAACACTGAAAGTTAACTAACCAACAAAGAACCCCACATTTGGTAAGAGAACCAGGATTCAAAATCTCAGTCCCTGCATTAATCCAGTGTGCTTTTGTGAACTTCTAGTGTATGTTGCTATTATTATTCTCATTTTGTTAATTGTTATTATGAGAAGATGTTTAATCTCTAATCTTTATATATAGACTGCATTACTTTTCATAGTTTGGTCCTCTGTATTTGAGGCTTCAACACCACTGAAAAGCCTATATTATCATTAAAATATTAAAAGTAGGAATATTTTTTTACCTACGTTGGTTGGTATAAAGTAGAGAATAGCAAATATACTGGGTGACAGACTCACCACCCAAACATGCTACTAAGAAACATAAAGCTACCACTCTAGCAAAATACAAGGAATAGGAATAAATACAGTACAGGAGTGCACTGATGAATACATTCTCTGAAAATGAAAGCCCCCATATGGGCCATTTCCCTGAGGAATATTATAGGCCACCAACTGAAGGACAACAGTGGAAATCAGTATGGAGATTCTCAAAAAACTAGGATTCGCGGTCCCATTTCACCCAGCTATTCCCCTTCTGGGATTCTTCCAGAAAGAATTAAAAACATCATACCACAGCAATTTAAGCACAAATGTTTATAGCAGCATAATTGCTCATAGCTAAATTGTGGAAACAACCCAAATGCCATCAGCCAAGAAATGGATAAAGAAGGCATTTTTTTTATATTATATGATAGAGTACTACTCCACCATAAAGAAAGATACATTTGAGATGTTTCTAGGTAAAAGAATATACCCTGAGGGCATATTCTTAAGTGGGGAAAAAAATTGGACTCACATGTGTAAACATCACATTGTCTCACCGGTGTCAGAAATTGAAAGAGTAAATAAGGACCAAAATACACAATAGATATTGTGGAATGGAAAAAAATTATTCAAAAGAGAAGAAGAAATAGGATGGGGCAGGGGAAAGGAAGGAAGGGAAAAAGATTTTCAAAAAAAGATGAAATGGTTTGATTCTCAGCACCAAAAACAAAACAAAACAAAAAAATGAAATGGAAACAAAATAAAGGGAGGAGAGGGGCTTGGGAAAGATATAGCAAAATATATACATGTACAGATTCCCTATGATGAATGCAGTCATTATGTATATCTAAAATGTACCAATAAACTTAGTTTAAAAAAAAAAGTGAAAGACACTGCAGAGGCCACAGTTGTGTGGTAGCAGAAGCACAGAATTTGGATTCAGCTGGCTGAGTATAAATTTTACCAGCTGTGTAGCTGTAGGCAAGTCTGATTGCCTTGCTGAACCTGATTCTGTTTCTGGAAACAGGGATGAGTCAGACATCTCACAGACATATCATGAAGACTGAACGGGCTGACAGAGGACATGTGGCAAATTCTAAACTTTTGCTCTTCAAAGCAGGTGCCCAGACCAGCATGGTTAACATTGTGTGGGAGTTTGTTGGAAAGCCCATTTTCAGGCCCTACCCACATCTGCTGCAACAGACTCTGCACTTCAACATGATTTCCAGGTAGCTGGGAGCACCCTGAAGTTTGAGGAGTTCTGCCCTAAAGCACTAAGTGAAGATCTTCTGTTGCAATCCTGAATCTCTATTTTGTTTTCATAGATTGCCAAGAACGTTAAACGTGACTAAATCTAAAGGACTGAGCTGTTCCCAGATGTTTCCACGTAATCCTCTTCCCAAACTTCTCGATGAACTCACCAGGCATGGGGCAAGAACACCAGCCACAGGAGTGGGTTATTTCTGGAGAGTTTCCTCTGCTCATGAAGGGACCTTCTGAGAGAATCTTGACCTTATAAAATCTTGTGCTTTTTTTGAGCTAGAAGAACCAATAAAATGCAAACCCACATGTATACAATACTACTCCAGCCTTGGGAAAGATTGTTAAATCCGAGACTAAATGTAGGTGCATGCCAAAGTGGAGTTGAAGTGGATTTTAATCTTTCCTGCTCACAGTGCCTGAGGGCAACAGCTAAAGGCAGCAACTCAAAATGGGAGACTTCTTACCATAAATCTGTCCTTCATTAAATCCTTGGTATACATAAGACACCCATGATAGGTGCTCCACCAAAACCTGTTGTGAACTGAGCTGAACTGAACTGAGTTGAATTGAATTGAATTGAATTGAATTGAATTGAATTGAATTGAACACTTGATCAGCTTCCTAAACTGCCATTAAGGTTTTTAGTATAACTGTAAACTGGGCCAGATTCTGGATATATAGGGTATAGGAACTCCTTGACTTTTGGCTGGCTTAACTGTGTTTTACAAGCACATGCCATGTAAGTGAACGTGCACACACATAAATTGTTACAATTGTTATCATTATGTTGCCTTCAATTCCTAGAGTCACAAACTAATCTTTTCTCTTTTTTTCTTTTTCTTGGTACCAGAAATCAAACTCACAACCTCGAACTTGCCAGGTAGGTGCTTTGCCACTGAGCTATATCCGCGGCTCTCAAAACTAATCTTGGAAACATGCACACTTTATTAATCTGTTGGAGTGTCATAATAGAGAGGCACTGGTTCAATTTGTAAATTACTTATGCAAAAAAAATTGTTTGCATTTCCAAAGATTTTTAGTGTCTCAACTACAGAATATTTTAGTTGAGTTTATTTGTCCCTCTGGACTAGTGGTATTTAGATTTTCATTTGTTTGGACACAAAAGAAAAGAGGATGAGAAAAGCTAATGGCATTTTCTGCTGGAAAAATGAGGTGCTGAGGGGTAGCACAGTTACCTCCAAAGACCATGATTACAAAATGCTCCCAAAGCCCAGAATCATGGGAACTGAAGAGCAGCCAGTGTGTTCTTGGACGCATCTGCATTTCTTGAAGATGCTGTATCAGATGGTTTTACTTAAAGGTAGGATTATGTAAAAGATTTTTTGATAACTGGACAATCTGACAGAATGTGCCCCCATCTGTTCACATGTTTTTATTTACATTTTGCTTTAAAATTTGTATTTACCCAAGATTCAAGCATCTCTGGCCATGCAGTGAGCTCGCAGGGCTTCCTGCATGAAAAACCAACAGGCCCATGCTAGGTAAAGCAAGGCGCTAGGATAAGGAGCAGCTTTCAGGGTAGGGATTATTTATAATACAGTGAGTCCAACTTTCAATCATCCCCTGATTCCAGCAATTTAAACTCAATCTGGGGTGAGTCCCTGGAAGAGGAAGCAGGCAATAAAGATCTCTGAGCAGTGCAAGATGAGGTTCAGATGTCTCTAGATCCAGCCCTCTGTTAGCACAAAGACCAGGCAAAGCCCTCAGCAAGGCTGCAGAGAGGAACTGAGGCTCAGCCACTGATGGTCAGTAACACACTGCCTTCAGCAGCTGTTCGTAGCATCTTTGGTAGATGCTGATGTGTGAGCAACTGGGTTGCTGTGTGGAAAATTTTCAGTCTTAATAAGGGTCAGTATTCATTATAACTATTTGGGTATGTGGCAGAATCCAAATTCAAGCTAGTGGAAAGCTAAAATGAAATGTATTAGCCCACCTAAGTCCTTGAGAGCTATGTCTGACATAGACATCTCACTCTCATATCTCAGTTCTTCATAGCTTTATGCCAGGCAGTCCACCATGATGGTAAGGTGGTCCCCAGGCCCACTCCTACAACTTCGTAATTCCCACACAGAATTTGCTTCCAGAAAGGTTCTGATGGGCCTGGCTTGAGTCTTACAGTTAGCCAGAAGCCAATGATTGTTGCCATGGGAATGCAGTCTCTTTTATGCAGGCTCCAGATCATGTGTTCCTCCCCAGAGAGAAGAGATGGTATTGGCTTCACCTGATTCACAGACAGGGAGAGCCAGAAGATGATCGTTTCCTTGAAGAAAAAATTAAGCTTCTGCTACAACAAGAAGGAGGAAGTCATACTGCCAGAAATTTTAAGAGATTCTCCCAGCCTTTCTCATCATGAGCACTTGAAACTTAATAAGAAGCAAACTTCCTTTGGAAATGAGAGCCTTTTTCATTGTAAAATGGGCAGAGTGACCAAAGACTTAGAGCCTTCGCTCACTGCTCAGATTTCATCATCAGGCCTCCACCATCAAGAGAGACAACAGAATCTGTGATTCAGTCACTGTCCCGGGGCTCGGCTCCCCACCCACTGTCTCCTTGCCAGTTCACTGAGTCACCCATGCTCCACCCAGTGCGTTCTGCTTTTCCCACAGTTTCCCGGACTCTCCTGGGACAGATGGCTGCTCTCAGAGCTGAGGAAAAGAGGTGACGTCTTTTAGAAACAAAAGCACCTCTCCAGCCCCGCCCTGTGCACAGCTAGCAGAAGAACTGGCTAAGGAGGTGGGGTGGGGATTACTCACTTTGCAGTTTCTGCCGCACTGAGGACCAGATTCTTGGGAGTCTTTTGTTTCTGCTTTTTTTCAAATGTGCTGGGGATGTACCTAGGGCCTCATGCATGTGAGACAAGTATTCTACCTCTTAGCTACATCACTAGCCCAAACATCACATTCTTTGTTATAAAGGATGGATTCACTCATAATTATAAAAGATGGACTCACTTGTACCTTTTGCCATTTCTCTGTTTAAAACAAACAAACAAAAATAAATAAATTCCTGTATTATCCTTTTAGTTCACTGGATACCAGATAGCTCAGGGTCTCCTCCTACTCAAAGCTTCCCTTTTTCTGCTTCCCATTCTCTTTCTTATTCGTCTGAGAGGCAGCATTTATCACCTGCACTCTCCTAGCACAATGTCAGAGACATAGTTACAGAGCTTTTCTTATGATGTGATGGCTACCTAGGTGGCTACCTATCCGCAGTGACTCTTTAAAAAGTCAGCCATTGCCCAATGTGTCTCTTATTATATCAGGGTACTGTATACAGAGGCAGGCACACAGAAATTCCCACAAAGGTTTATGCAGTGAGTGAAAGATTACATGACTGAAAATGGACAAACAGCTGTAGACTTCAAGGTGAACAGACTGTTGTAGCTTGGCATAACTAACGCCATCTTGTGCCCTGTGTTTGACTTGTGCCCTGTATTTGACCCAGAAGAGTGAAAAATTACTCAGGGTACAAGTCCCATGAGAAAAGCAAAATGAGCTGCACCCACAAGAGAAAAAATTAACCTGCTCAACAAAGGAGCAGGATACAGATGTCAGCCAAAATTAATGTAAGATTCTAGCTAAATTGTTTCCAACAGGATGTCTTGCTTTGTGGTTATTTGCTTTAAATGCCCCGTAACCCTCCAGTTCAGGACCACTCGGTTTGACTCTGGAACATGGGTTTATGCACATGGTCGCTGAGCTCAGCTAATAAAATTCCAAAATTTATCAGTTTGGCTGCTTGGATTCCTATATTGTTTATGAACCCACTTCACAGATGAGAGTTCAACAATATCGGGATAGTCTTTGGTATTTTTGCTTTCATTTTTTATGCTTTTATCTCCAGGAAATGACTCAGAGTCCTTTTCTTTTTAATATAATCACCAGCAGGTTCCTTATTGTAGATAATTCCAGATACTGCTTTGAAAACCGACAGCAACCACACTTAACAGGAAATGTTTTTCAGTAACTATAGAAGATGACAGTTCTGAGATATTACATCAATGAAAAGGCTACAGCAGCCTAATTACTGACATAATGTGTTCAATGTTTGGATACAATAGGAAACATTCATTAAATGCTTTGTGATTAATCTGCAATCAATTTAGATGCTTATGCTCTTGTGCTATACAGAATTAAATGCAGCAATATAAATATAAATAATGAATAATAAGCTGTAGGATTTTGGAATCCTCTAACAGACAATGGGCCATTCAGGTTTTTGTAGTTTCTATTGAAAGTCATTTAGAGGTGTTTTAAATATATTTGAAGAAAGAAATAATAACATAATAATAATCCTATCATTCCAAAGAGTAGTAATAAAAATAATCATAGTAAAAGAGGGAGAGGAATTCAAATCTGTCTTAGTATACCTTCTTGCTTTACTCCCTGGTAAATAAAGAAGACAATGTTTCCATTTGTGCACTTTTCATTTAATAAATGTTAATTAATAATCTATTATGTTCTAGGCAATGTTTTCCAAGTGAAGATTGTAGATAATTATATAAATAACTTACCCTAACTATAGTGAACTGAAACTCACTAAACAAGAGAGAATCCAATGTCTTATTTATTCCTTCAAAATAATGCCTTCCAGTGACCAAAGTTAGTGATACCCATGTTCATACAGTACCTCCTACTTTACAGAGAGATTTCATATATATGTACTGTCCATGGTCATCAGGACTATTATGAATACAATTTTGCAATTGAGAAAGTGAAACTTAAAGAAGTTAGGTAAATCATTCCAGGTGACACCAATGACAAGTTATTGAGCACGGACTAGCACCAAATCTCCTGGCTTTGAGTTTAGTTCTCTTCCTAATTATTTTTCATTTTAAACAAGAAGTCAGAATGATGGAGTTATAAACCAACTTCAGAACCTAACTCTGATGAAGACATGTTATCAAGAGTGTTTCTAAACTGCAACCTCATTTTATACTTGTCTAGGGGCATCAAAAAATTGGTGGATTGAGACTGTGATCTTTGGCACCCATCCCTTTCTTCAAAGTATGTCATAAGAATTAACCGAGGATATTCCATTCACAGAACTCAGCCAAGAATAGATGGAGTTGTATACTCAACACTGTTGATAAATTGAAAGTCTCTGAAGCTGTGTTTCCACAAGCTTTAAACAAGTACTCATTAAAAAAGCACTAGATTCTAAATCCTTGGATGCTTTTTGAGAGCTCAATTGACTCTTTCGAATCAGACACAAAAATCAATGATACATGCCCTTGAAGAAATGAAAGCTAAAACACTTTTAGCTTTGCCAAGTGCAGATTTTACCGGCATGCTCCTAAGAATGAAATTAATATTTAGCATTCTTAAGTGAGCTCTTACATCAATATAAATAGATGTAACTTAGTGGCTGGTGACAGAAGATTCCACCCATGTCTGTTCCTCTGCCCTCCTCCTACTCTGTATTATGACTAAATGGTCTCTAATCAGCTTACAGGTCCTCAAGAAATATCACTTACAAAGCCATTAGTGGGTTAGTATTTTCTTTGGTGGGTCAATATCTGAGCTGGTGGTCTCTCTTAAACCCCAAAGAGCCATGAAGAAAGGAAAGCCTCTAAAAGGTAAGTGAAGTAATCTTGTGGAAAGGAATAAAATTTAGCACCAGAAAACCTGGTTTACCTCTTTTTCTTGTTTAATTTCTCTGTACCTCAGATTACTAATATGCATAATGCGGTTTCTCAATACATACGGTCTTGGAATCTTTTGATAATATTTAGGAATAATTCCCTTCACTCTCAACATCACACAGTTGTTGAATCAAATGAGAGGAGGTCTTTGAAAGTGGTTTTATAAATTGCCACAGGATCACATCTTTATTTTTCTCTTTGAAAATCTTTAATTTTACAATAAAATTATGTGTTGCTAGAAATCTGTCAGTAAGATGAACCAAAAATTATGTAATAAAAATAAATTTATTTTATTTTTTAGGAAAAATAAATTTAAATACAAATGTATAAATGGGTAAGTTAAGAGCACTAGAAAGTGTTTTATTTTTAAAATGCTGAAAGTTTGAGTGAGACATGCCAAGAACTGATAGCTTTCAAAATCATGTTTTAGTCTTTTTATTAGTAATAATGAACTTATTGCAATTCTATGTTACATGATTTTTATAATATTCTATAATTTGGGAGTTAATGAAATCATGCATAGAGTTTGACCTTAAATAATTGACAAAGCAAGGAACTAAGATACTTTGAATGACTTGAAGTTAAAAATGATACTTATTCTTCATGGCTGAATCTATACTATGTTATCATCCTATCTCTGTAAGACACTTTCGTCTGTGACACTCCCAGAATTGTCTTGTTTTTAATGACACTGACAATTTAGAAAAGTACTGTTCTGTACTGTATTTTACATAATGTCTCCCAGTTAGAATTTAACTGAGTTTTTCTCATGAGTAGACTGGGCTTATGAGTCTAGACGAGGAAGTCTCCAGTAGACATTTTAATTACTGGAGTTTAGGGAGACACAGCCAGGCAGTTTTTCTGGCATGAAGAAAAGCCTTTTTGCCTGAAGAAGCATGAACCACAGTGACATCTCACAGCTGCAAGAGCGCTGTGAACATGAAGAGACTCTTCCAGCCTATCCTCCAAGAGGATTTACTCATTCTAGGAGCCCGGGTCTGTTCACTAGCTGAAATCACCCCTGAGGACTTCCAATGCTATCTCCTGAATGTTTCTGTGGAAGAAAAGTATTGCCAGTCTTCTTAGGGAATTTAATTAAAATAAAAACAGTACTCACTCTATAGAAATGCACTCAGAGGCAACATTACTGACCTGAAGTTGATATGTGAAGCCTCCACATTGTCCTAAGCATAAGGGTATGAATAAGAACATGGGATTTATGGTGCTGGTAAATGTCCCTTTACTAGAAGAAAAAGTCAATTTATGAAATCTCTCTCACACCAACAATCTGAAATTCTACTAAAACATGGAAGAAAACTCCAGTATGTGGACCCAAGCAAACTAATACTACAGCTCATAGAAACACATCTGAATTTGAATCTAGGAAACTGGAGGAATCCCAAAAGACTTCTTGCAAGAATTAACTACCTTATTCCATTTTTGCAAAGGCCGTGCTGTTAGTAAAAGGAAAAGCAGCTTCAAAATATAGTAAAGTATAAATATGATGTGATACACATGCATATGTTCTATGTGCAGTTTCGCTTCTATTTTTGATGATAATATCTTGATTTATGTGCATTTAGTTACTTAAATCCTACTGTAATCGTCATAATGACTCTGTCCTACACTGATATAATAATAAAAGCTTGTATTTATTGGAATATGTCTTTGATTTATATACTGCATTCATTTATTCCTGTCTGATGTAAGCGCTCACTATCTTTGTCTAAAGATGAGGAAAGTAAAGCTTAGGAAATTAAATAACTTGCCTGAGGAGACACAAATAAAATCAGAACTTGAATGCAATGCTAAGACTGGCTCCCAAGCTTAAATTATACTTATGTTTAAAAGTTTATTTTAAAATGCCTGTGCCAAGCGAGAGCCATGTCTTTCTTCTTCTTTTATTAATTATTGAAGTTTCCATATGGTATATATTTAATATCAGAACATAATAAGGAGGATAATATATAATTACTGCTGACTGCCACTGTGAAATAAAACAAAGAGGCACAATCTAATTGATTATCAAACCAATCATAAGGTAAAAGAGCCACACACCACCACTCTAAGCTCTGGAACCACAGTGAGAGGAACTTGGCTCTTCATCCTCTAAAGCGTGGATATTTAGAAAATTGTAGACAATGTAGAATATTATTATATTGAGATCTAGTAATCCAACAAATTAGGAGGCAATTGCTATCAAAAAGATGTTTTTTTTACTTATCACTCCCAAGACAAGAAGTTATGCTAGTCCATGGGAGGTCACATGGGAGGACAGAGTCTCTCAAAGTAAAGGGAGTAGGAACTGAAGGTAAAAACCTTTCTGATAGTATCCAAGGAATGTGCAGGCAAGGCTTTAGGAGCTGATTTAGGATTAGATAGATGAAATGATTTCAGTGGTGTCTAGGCACAAGAGGGTATATCCCACCACACAAAAGTCTAGTGACCATCAACCATTATAAAACTGATTAGCAACTCTTTCACTTAAATCCATTTCATTAGAAGATACATTTTGTACACTGTCATATTATGGGCATATTATACATACACAGCCAGAGACAGAGAAACAGTTTACTTAAGTGTGAACTCAGTATCACACACTATCTCCTCCCGCAGGGTTAACCCCTCATCACATATTCTTAGAGTCTAGATTTAGTGGGTTCAAGTTGACATGACCTTTTTTTTTTCAAGAAAGCTTTGAAATAGAGAGTTAGACCTTTTTATTTTGGCCTACAGCTTCCTTAAAACAAGAAGCAGTGTCTTCAAAACTAACGGTACTCTTTACTCCAAAAAATGTTTTCTTTACAGTCAAGACAAAATCAAGTATCACATTCTTTCAAGTTGCAGCAAGTACTTTATTCTCCTCATTAATGTCTCAAAACCATTGGAAACCAAAGTCTGAAAAGTCCTTCAGCAACAAATGTGTTTCACAGAAAAGATGAAAGAACTTTCAAGAGACTATCAGTGTCTGTTAACTGTATTCCTGAAAGTTTTTCTTTGGTAAAAACACCAAACTTGAATAAATTAGGTACAGCGTCGATAGAAATAAAAGAAATAATCTGTGAAGAATATTCCAGCAAAAAAGGGATCCGTTGAGCAGTTTGCTAAATCCTGTCAGAACAGGAGAAAAGAAAGATTAATATAAAAATTAACTGTAGCTAAAGCATTTCATTTATTCCTTTAGTGGTCAATTTTGTACTAAAGAGAAATGAAAAAGCAAGCTTACCGGTGCAGCTACACGGAAATGGTATGCACTATCAGAGAAGAGGGCCACGGGAAGGTTCCAAACGTGCTGATATCCCTGAATAATGAATGAGAGAGACCCATTTCATAACCACATTTTCCACTCAGTTGGTGAGAGCATCGGCTGAAAAGTATTCCCTTGACTAGGAGAGGCATGTGTGATAGCAGCTTTTGATTGGTGTCCCTAGAATAGTCTGAAGCTTCTAAAGGACACCAGGAAGACCGTTACCTAAACCTCATGACTACAGCAGCCAGCACCAGGAAGCATCAACCTTTGGTTCAAGATGTCCCTCCCACAAATGGACACAGAGGCTATAATTCTCAACATAATTCTGGAACAGGAGAATAATACCAAGGATCCAGAAAACATTACCTGTGTCATGCCCTGGTAGGTGTCTCCATAGGTTTGAGCCCCTTTGGTTTCCTTTTTATTATGGTAACATATATTTCCAACGGTGACTTGGCACTGGAAGACTATCAATGGTTCTGTTGTGCTTCAGGAGACAAAGAAAAGAGGGCAAGTAGAGAAGCAGTTACAGGTTCCTAGCAGGCCACATTTGGTTAGACAGATGGACGGGAATGTGACTTAGAAATCCCGTGAAGGTTCACAGAGTTCATTATTATACAATCCTCAGTGATAGCACTAGGCTCGCTCACATCTTACTACTAGAGAGAAACCTACTCACACATGACTACCGAAATAGCGCAGAATGGTTTTTAAAACCAACCATTCTGTCCAAACCACTTTATATCAAAACTTCTTATGCCTAAGGAATTTGAGTAATTTTTTGATATATCATTCTCTTCACTGGCAACTGAATTTACACGTATCTGAAACTTGTAAGATTTTAGATTTTGAAAGGCCTGGACAGACATTATTTGCAGTAGCAAAGCAAACAGATATAAGTAGGGGTTTGCAGGTGCGTTCCATTAGAAATCACCAGTATTCAAAGTTATCAGAATGGAAGGATGAAAGAATGGTTCTCCTCTGAAAATCAACTCATCAATCACTACAAAGAGGATGAGATATATTTCTCTTTGGAACAATCCTTTTGTGCAAATGGAAAAATCCTACATCCTTAATTGAGTCTACAACTTAGTAATCCCCCATTACCCATGATGCTACATTCCAAGACCCCTAGTGACTCTTGAAACCACAAGTAATACCAAACCCTATATGTACCATCTTTTCTCTTATACATACCTATTTATAATACACCTTAATTTATAATTAGGTACAGTAAAGAGGTTGACAACAACAATAATGAAATAGAGTAGTTATAACAGTATACTCTTGAAAGTGTTTCTGGAATTTTTCATTTAATATTTTTGTACCATGACTGACTATGGATAACTGAAATTATAGGAAGTAAAGCTGTGGGTAATGGGGAACTATTCAGTGAATTATTTTAAAGTCATCTCTGTTTGAAAAATGGTTCATAGACTAACAGGCTTGTTTTAGTGGCTCAAAGCAATCTTCTGCCACTTGAAGCATATAATATTTCATCTTATTTTCTTCCTTGAAGCTAGGAATAAAATTCCTAGCATTCTAGGTTATCAGGGAGTGCTAAAGAATATTGTGTAAGAATAGCACACTTAGCATGTAAAGGTAGTACATTTAACATGTAAGAACAGTACACTTAGCTTTTGCTCTGCCTTGAGTTATGAAATATTATGGGCCTGAAACAAACCTTTACAAGGCTAGCAGCTGGGCTGACTGTCATTACCTGATCATCCAAACAAAGCTGATGAGAAAACAAATATGGAGCCCAAGTAAAACAGAAGAGATGGGGGGTGGGTGATAGAGGAAGACTAACTGACATAGGGAAACTGGGGGAGAGAGGGGAGGCCAAAGGAAAAGGGAAGAGAGGGAGAAAAGGAAGGGGAAGGAGACGTGGAAATGTGGAGGAGGAAATAACGGAGACTAAAATCAAGAGATAACACATTATCATCACAGTGAGTGGCTGCAAGATCTTTTAGTACAATGGTTTGTCTTAACATACCATAATTACCTAAAATACTAAATAATAATAAATGAAATTAGAGTTCAGTGATTTGGGAGAAAAGAACAATACAATAAAAGCTACATCTATGGGTGAGAAGGAGTAATGTCACAACAGATCTCATCCCTGGGGAGGCAGAAGAGTGACAGAAGAGAGGGCTGTATTTGAATCCCAGCCCTACTGTTTCCCGCTGTGTTTCAGAACACACACACACACACACACACACACACACACACACACACACACACTTTATCTCTGTGTGCCCATGAGTTTTCATCTGTAAAACATACTGGAGAAAAAAAATACCATCTTGGGGAAGTTTTGTGAGGATTATATGACCCAGGAATTCTGTGTTCAGTATCTGGCCCATAGTCTGCTCAGCAAATGGTGGGTATAATTTCACCAGTATTAACAATAATTCCACAATACCTCTGTGTGTTGGTATAATGTAATACTCATTTTACAGAAAAAGAATGGTAGATCTGAGAACATATGTATCTTTTCCAAGATCAAAGGGTTAGTAAGTGACAGGAACAAAATTTGAAAACTAGTCTGCCCAATTCTAAACTCTGATTTCTTATTCTTTCTTTTCTTCTGCCTTCTCTCTCTCTCTCTCTCTCTCTCTCTCTCTCTCTCTCTCTCTCTCTCTCTCACACACACACACACACACACACACACATGAGGGCAGTGTTTGATTGGTTTGAGGTTTTCTTTCCTGTCCTAAATAGGTAGCCTCCCCACCAAGGAGCCGGATTACAAAAATTGATCAAAAACTCGAATGCTTAAATTTTACAAATTTATTAGAAGACACATTGGTACTAATCTCGATCAAAATATTTCTTCCTTGCTTTGAATGTGTGTATCCCATCATTACTGCCACTTTCTGAAGCAGTTCTGCAAGTCCTCTTTTATAAATGTCTTTATAAGATATGACCAAAAATACAGTGCTGTTGAATACCATTCAAGGGAAAGCCAGGCTCATAAAATCTACAGTGTGTCCTCATCCATCCAGAGACTTTTGGCCCTTCCCCAAAGTCAAAACAGGCAGACACAGACATTCAAGAAAAAAAAGACTCCCAGAAATGTTGTAGAAAGGATAAGCGTGCTCAAAATGAGAGAGTATTTTAAGGGAGCTTAATGGCAGTGCATTTGGGTGTTCCATTGGCTTGGTCTTTTTGAGACAGGGTTTCACTCTACTTTCAGACTGGCCTTAGACTCACTTTGTAGCCCACACTGGCCTCAAACTCATAGCAATTCCCTGCCTCAGCCTCCTGAGTGCCGGGATTACAGCTATGGCAATGTCTTTTACTGTCATAATTTTTTTTTACTTAAACACAATGCAGTTTTCAATCATGCCACATTACTCTTGTTCCCTATTTTGAAGGGAGACAAGCTGTGAGCTTGTCCCCCTTCTCACAAGCTTGAGTGTAGCTTGGAGCCCACAGTTGCCTGCAAGTCCGGATGCTCGCTGCCCTTGCTCTGGCCCCCTAAACCAGCCACAACTCCAGCGTCAGTCACAGACAGCTTTCTACCTCCTAATGGGCAGGTAGAACTGCAAAGTACATTCAGACTTGCCGTTTAACTAATAATAAAAAATGAAAGAAATATTTGTAGAGCCATGTACTTACTTGATTTCCAGAGAGAATTTGACTTCTGTGGGTGTGTGCTTATTAACAGGAATACTGTAATAATAATATCCAGACCTAATGGTGAAAAAACAGGGAGCTGAAAATCAAAACATGAAGGAAAGAATTTTTTCCACTTACATGCTCTGTAAGTTGTGAAGTATTGCACAATAAGTATAGAAAATAGCTAACCTGATATTGTTAATAGTTTTTCAGAGACATGCTTGCCAAATTTCACGAGGTCTCATTCACATCTTAATATTAAATGTATCACAAGATTTGTAAATTTTAGAACACATGGAAAAAATGGAAATTCAGTTTCTAAACCAAATGCACAAAATTAAATGCACAGAAAATAACTTCAGTTCCCCTTACAAAGGCACAGATTTCAGAAGACACATGAAACAAAGATCTCAAACTCGTAATCCTTCTAAAAAAGGACCATTGAAAGGAAAACCAGTGTTTCTACCACAAATTACTCCCTTTTAGAAAATACTAATGGGAAATATGTACTTTTAGAACCCAAATCTGCCACAATTATTATAGCCCTGATTACCACTTAGTAATGAAGAAAATTGTAAAAACAGAATTTGTTATCTATAGGTTCCTCCTTACCTCTTCACTTCTAATTTAAGAAAGACACGTTGAAAAAAGGAAATTCCATTGATTCATATTATACTGAAAACTTCTAACAAAACAGCATATTAGTATCCAACACAACTTCTCCTTATAACTGGTTATCCCATAAATTATATGGAGAAACGACTTAAAATTAGATTAAGTGGGAAAAAGAGCCAGGCATTTTAGATTCTAATTACTACTAATTACTACTAAACTAAATTGCTAAAAATGTGCAAGCAAAAATATAGTGAACTGAAAAAACTGGTGTTTCACAATGTACAAGAATTTCAAAGCATCACTTTGTTTTGATTATTCTCTATGATGATTCTTCCAATATCTATATGCTTCACAGCAACCCAATTCACTTGATAATATCCCCTTCTTATACTTGAGAAATGAATATTCAAGGAACATAAACATTTTTTACTAGGATCTAGAACTGAATTGTCTGGTGCTTTTTCATTGTCACCCTACATATTAATATTAGTCACTGATACATGATCAGAGGCAAACTGATTCAATGTGATCAAATTTTTTCAAACTCACTGAAAACTACATAATAGGGGCAAATGACATGAACTTCTTAGGGCTTTTGTGAGAATGTGGTAATATAGGTATCATAAAGCACTATACAAGTTATTTTTATAACTCAGGAATATCAAGCATAAACTCTGCCAGATTGAAAGAGATATAAAGTTGAAAACCCATAACATTTCTTACACCAGATCAAAATACAGGCCTTGCCTTTAACCCAGCAGACAGCCCATGAATATTTATCAGATTAACACAAATAATTCCCTATTTTTAATGTCTATAACCTGCATTTGTGTTTATTGAAGTAACTTACCTTCTGTGCTTCCAGGCATATATCATTACATGTATAGGTATACATATTACATGTGTGATATGGCACACACTGAAGATAGGGGTTGCTGATAACTTTTGAAATACCTAGCCTTTGGGGCTGGGGATTTAGCTCAGCAGCATAAGCACCTGCTTTGCCAAGCGCGCACTCGTGAGTTTGATCCTTGGTACCGACAAAAAAAAAAAAAAAAAAAAAAAAAAAAACTAGCTTTTTTTTCCTTCTTACTGATAAAGCTTTAGATAAGGTATAGCTTTTCATCACTGAAAATAATGATATCCTTTGTTATTAAGATATACAATGTCAGCTCACTCATCACTTGGGGCCATCAGTAACTATGTCTTTCTTGTCAGTAGCTTTCATTAGCAACTCTGTACCTACAGTATGTGCTCTCAGAGGCAGCCAGAGTTTTCCCAAGCTTTTCATTTCCGACTTAGCCATAAAACCAGACGACTGAAAGCACTAGGGCAATGATTTTTTGGCATTTGCTATTACCAATTATTTTATGATTCCCTTGTACTCATGTAATCACTGGTATTCACTTAAGAGTGATGTAAATACAGTGATTTCACCACATAGCTTTCATTTTCATCTCAGCCTCAAACCTAGTACTCTGAGTAAATTCCAGAATCAAGCAGTATGATGAGGCTTTCCTACCTGCAATGGAGCTCATTACTGCAATACCGACGATCAATTATGTGCTGGATTTCCGTTATTTGTATAGAACTGATGGATGTATCAATCCCTGATTTGAAAGGAAGTACAAAAACCAAAGTAAACTCTCCTGCAGGGGAAGAGGATTGTGCTCTGGAGCAGCCCCCATATTGCATAATTCAGAATTTCCTAGATGAATAGATTCCATTTACACAATTAAAAAAGGAGAAAGGAGCCACAATTTATTTTATTTTGTTGTTTTTATAGGAAATTTTAAGACAACTAATAAGAACCCAGTCCCCAATAAACAGCCCCATAATAGTCAAAAGAATTTCTGGGCCATGGAACTCCTACTATATCCAAATTTACAGAAAACCAATGATGCAGTGTGAAATGCAACTTATTTCAGAAAACAGAAAATGAACTAAAAATACATATACTCCAAATAAAAGAACTTCTAGCAAATTACTGAAATCCATAGAGATCAGTCACGGCTTGCCTACCAATGAGTGACAATTTCCAGTGCCTCATTAATGGTTAAGCTGTACTGACTACAAAACGGGCTGCAGGCTTTGCTTCTGTTCTCCCCTCCAGTAATGCTTTTATTGCTTGTGATTCTGCTCGGCCCCACAAAGTCAAACAGATAATGTCAACTTACAGTCACTCTGCCAGTCGGGACTGATGAATTCGCTTCTTGCCATAAGTGATTTCCTTTTGTCTTATGAAGAGGAAAAACTTCTGTTAGTGTTGAGGGCTTGCTCAGCACGAGAAGAAACCCCGCATGCTGTAGTCATCTCTGTGAGTTGAATGTTCCCCACCTTTTCTCATTTCAACCCTCTTCTCCTACCCTGTTTCTTACAGGTGTTGTTTATTCTTCCCTCCTCCTAGCAGCATTTTTTCCGGGCTGAATGGTCTACTCCTGAATCATGTGTTGAAGCCCTAACCCCTTGTTCCTCAGAATGTGACAACATTTGGAGATAGGACCTTTTAATGTGATGAAATTAAAAAGAGGCTCGCAGTCTAACTGGTGCCTCCTAATGGGGGATAAAGGATAAATGGGGAGACGCCAAGGTTACATGCACAGAGGAAAGGTCACAGGAGGACCTGGGGAAGTAGGTGGCCATCTGCCTGCCAAGGAGCAAGACCTCAGAAGAGTCTTAGAGACTTAGAGACAACAAGATCTTGGAATTGTACTCTCTAGAAATACGAGGGAACAAATGTCTGTTGTTTAAGCCTCCTGGTCAGTAGCGTTCTATTATGGCAGCCTGAGCCAACTAAAATACCATCCTGACAAGGCTGGCAGCTCACAGCTCCCACCTTCCCATTGCCATGATTATTACTGAACCACCCACGTGGTCATCAGTCAGTGGTAAGGCTGTTACTAGACTGAAGGGCTTATCTCTGTGTTGTCACTTAGCTTCTCATGCATTTTCTGCCTTTTCTTGACCATGTCAGAGTAGGGAACCCCCATTAACATTCTTTAAGTCCTCTGTAACTCTTGGCATAATGCCTTCCATCCATACTATGAATGTCCTTTTCTTTGATTAATGGGGAACTAATGGTAGTCTTGTTTTTCATCTAGTTTCTGAATTAACAGTGTTGCTAATCAAAATCAGATTTAGGTTACCTGGATTCTTTTCCATGCAACTTATTGTTACTATCTCAACATCATTTATATTAACATAAAAAATGGAAATAAGTCACCAGAAAACCTTGTGATGGGGAGTCTCGCTAACTTTTGAGACTATCCATTCCTCTGCTGGGCAGTGCTGAGTATCAGATTTAGAGCCAGCACCTACTTTTCTGCTCAGTCTTTTGATCCCCACATTTCTACCTCCTGTGTGAGCAGAACTGACCTTTATTAGGCAACTGTTCTGACCAGCCCACACCTGGATCATACCTGGTTGCTGAGGAGCATCTTTTTTATTTGGAGTAAAATCAAGGATTGCTATAAATATAACCTTTGGAAAGGAGACAGGAGAAAGGAACAATAGCATACATATTGGAAACTGATTTCTGAACTATTCTTGGAAACCTAGAGGAAAGCAAGAAGACAGAACTGTTTGGTTTAACAAACGCTTTAGAGTTGAATGCAGGTACCACGAAGGCCCACCTTCAAGGGTACATTTGTCCCTGCTGGTTTTTCAATCCTGCCTACTTCCATGGTCTCCCTGTCCCATAATGCATCCTATTAAATGAGAATATGATTCAAAAGCAGCGAGGATAGTGAATATATGTGAAGGAAAATAAGAACAAGACTATCTCTACAGTAAAATAATGAACTGTCCATGTCTATACAAATAGAATTGGGATCTCTAATTCTAATCTCTAAATCTCTAATTCTTATTTAAAGAGAAATAAAATTTGGAATACAAATTGAAGGTGTTCTTCCATATTATAGAAAAGTTTATGAGACATGTATTTTTGCATTAAGGGATAAAAATGATGATTACATCTACTCTGTATTGACTCATTTTATGGGAAATTGTTCTAAAGGCTTTATAACAGTTTGGGAGAGTGGCTGTCCATATCTGACAGATGAACTAACTGAGGCACTAGGAGGACAATCTGTGGGTAAGTAATGGAGAACTTCCAATCCAAAATCTGATTCCAGAGTCCACAATTGTACTACCCTGGAAACTATGCGAAATATGATCCATAAGGGGGAAGAAGTGATTTTAAAGCTTAAAATAAAGAGTAGGTTGCAACCAATTGAAGAAAATCAGATCACTGGTGTGGGGTAAGTGCCAGGGAATGGTTAGGCCCCTCGCATAGCTGAAAAGACATTTTTTAGAGCAATTTGAAAGCAGTCACTGTTTAGACTATCATTGTTAAGTCTATGAGAAAAATACGTATCTTTTAAAAGCAGATAGTGAAAGCAGCTATTTAGTGGGTTGCTAAGCAAATCTGACAGGAGAATTTTAGGACATTTTAGCATTTACGTTTTAAAATTTGCTGAAGTCTATGTTCAAGTGTCTATACCGAAGTTTAGGTCAACAAGTAAAAACAACAGGGCAGAATACCCCAGGACAGGGGCTCCTAACCATCTCCGGCCCAGCCAGTGCCTCCTGACCCAGGGCAAAGTGCCCCTTTACTTGCCCACTCAGCTGGCTGGGAGCACCCTGAAGACTGCCCTGTTCACACTGTGTTTCCCAGACAGGCAATGCTGAGCCCTCTGCAGGTGCTCAATAAATATTTGTGGAAGGGGAGAAGGAAGAGGCTCAGGGAAAGAGGAAGGAAAAGAGAAAAAGAAAAATATGTCCTCTTGGGGAACACACTCAAAGGGAAAATTCCCAGGACCTGAGAGCAGAGAGACACTGAGGATGGACGTGGGGGACGGGCTCCTTTACTCTCTTAGCAGCTGGGAGGAAACAGAACTGAAGCACACGGCAAATCCTGGGCCTCCAGTCCGAGTATTATGCTTTCTATGAAGAAGAACCAGATCTTGAGATATGAAAATTTTCTGCAGGAATCAACCTTGGCTTCACTTTCCGTATAAGTGCACATGCTGCCCAGAAGGTCTCCAGCTTTCCTAAATTCCAGATATTCCAATAATTCTCAGGCGCATGTCTCCTACTATTAGTTGTGCTGAAAACTGCTCCCACAGAAGGCTATAAATTTGCAAGGCAAATGAGACACAGAGATGGGAAACCAAGACTTCTCTGTCTTATCTGTTTTCTACTTTTCGTGTTACTTTCCTACTGAGTTTTCAGGAAAAATGGCTCATCATAAATTCTGGCAATGCAAGTGCAGATTTGCCTCACTTTCACAGAACTGCAGTCAGGTTCCTGGAGATAGAGAATTCTATAAATAGGATTGAGTATCTGATGGGATAAGGTGCTTTTTAACAATCATAAAGAGGTGAGGCTGAGAAGAGATAATCTTGCAAATTAAAATTATGATAGTGATTTTTAAAAAGCAGAAAATAAATTTAAAATTCCCTACAAAACACCTCAAATTTGTCACTTCTCTGAAAAAAGTCTCTTAACTCTGAAAGGCTGATTATTGGAGAACCATAAACCCTCCTGTTGTCACATGGAGGCAGCTCTTGCTTTATAAATGCCTTCTACTAATATTCACAATAAACTTAATATACATTCCCAGCAGTTTCCATTCGAAAACTGGAGATACATTTTACAACTGACAAATAAGACCTCCCAATAAAATAAACTGAAACTTCTAAAGGGGAGAGATTTAGGATGGTGTCCAGCCAAAGTATATCCTGCTGTGGATGCCAAGTCAACACACAAAAATCAATAGTGTTCCTGAACACCAATAATGAATTCACTGAGAAAGAAATTAGAAAAGCAACCCCACTCACAATAGCACAAAGACAAATTAAATAATTAGAAATTAACCTGAGTAAGGAAGTGAAAAGCCCCAACAACAAAAATAACAGTATTCTGAATAAGGATATTGAAGAAGACTTCAGAAAATGGAAAAATATTCTCTGTTCCTGGGTAGGAAGCACCAAAATGGCCATACTTCCAAAACTGATGTACAGGTTTACTGTTAACTCAATCAACTTACCAACATCATTCCTCACAAAGCTAGAGAAAACAATGCTAAAATTCACAGGGAAACAGAGGGACTGAGAATAACAAAGCAATACTGGGTAACAAGAGCAAAGTAGGAGGCATCTCAATCCCCAACCTGAGGTTATATTACAAAGCTACAGTGATGAAAACAGTATAATACTTGCACAAAGACAGACAGGTAGCTAAACAGAACAGAATAGAGGATACAGAAAAAACCCCAAACACATTCAGCTATTTGATCTTTTATAAAGGCCTCAAAAACATATACTGAGAAAAGAAAACTTGCTTAATAAATGGTGTAAGAAAATTATCTATATACATGGAGAAGATTTAATCTATATCCATGTATTTTATGACATAGTAAGCTAAAGTCAAATGGATCAAAGAACTAAATGTTAAAATGGAAACACTATCTTCTAGAAGACAAAAAAGTAATTCTTGAAGATGTGAGTGTAGACAAGGACTTTTTAAATAGAACCTCCATGGCACAAAAAATAACACCAAGAATCAAAGAATGGTATGAGGTTAAAAATTTCCTGCATAGCAAAGGAAACAACCAAAAGACTGAAGAGATACAGAATGGGAAAAATATTCACCAGCTATTTCTCAGAGTACTAACATATGGAATATATAAAGAATCCAAAAAAAATTAGGCCATTGCCAAATAAAAGACTAGCAAGAATGGGCAAGTGAAATAAACATTTTTCAGAAAAAGAAGTACAGATGGCCAATAAATACATGAAAAAATGTTCAGTATCACTGGCCGCTAGAGAAATGCAAATCAAAACAACCCTGAGATTCTATGTTATTCCAGAAAGAATGACTATCATCAAGAAATCAAATGGTAACAAATTCTTATGTGGATGTCAGGAAAAGGAATCCTTCAGTATTGTTGGTAAGAATGTAACTTAATACAGTCACTGTGGAAATCAATATGGAGATTCCTCAAAACACAAAAACTAGAAATCCCATTTGACTCAGCTGTTCCTCTTCTAGGGATCCTCCTGAAGGAGTTAAAGAGATCACACTACAGTGATATATATAAATATCCATGTTTATAGCATCACAATTATAACAGCTAAATCTTGGAAGCAGCTTTTATGTCCATCAACAGATGATGGATTAAGAAAATGTGGCATTAATACACAGTGGAGTACTACTCTGCCATAAAGAGATAAACTGAAGTCATTTGTATTGAAATGGGTGCACCTTGAGATGATAATATGATGTGAAATAAATCCAATACACAAGATTTCTTTTTCATGAAAAGCCTATATACATAGAAAAATAGGAGGTAGATAACAGAAAGCAGGGAGATAGATCTTTCTCAAATGGGAAGGGGATCAAGAGATGGAGGAGGGTTGGGAGAGTTGGAAAAGAGACAAAAAAAAAAAAAGAACTGAGATGTTATGTACATGTACCAACTCCCCACAAGAAATGTAATCATTATGTACAGCAAATATGTACTGATAAAAAACAAAAACTTAGAAAAACATAATGTTGTGGTAGAGGGTGGATATTTTCCTACTTGTAAAACTGTAGTAAAGGTTGAGTTCCAGTAGAACTTATTGGATGCTTTCTTTCTTCTATCTGAACCAGACTCATACCAAGAAGTCAGTGAGCTCCACCGATCAATGGCTGAGTTGTTTAACACTGGGGACCATTTTTTTTTTTTTTTTTGACATTTGCTTGTCTCAGTATTCTGTGTCTCTAAAGTGAAATGAACATAAATTACAGATCCTTTTAAAATTTTATTTATTTATTTATTGGTGTGGAGGTTAAGACAGGGTCTTTTTCTTTGTTTGTTTTGTACCAGGGATCGAACTCACAACCTTGTGCTTCTCAGGCAAGCACTTGAGCCACTGAGCTAAACCCCCAGCCCTACAGATCCTTTTTTTTTTTTTTTTTTTTTGGCTTTGTATTTAAAAAAGAAAAAAATCTCACAGATTAAAATACAGTCCCTTATATCAGCTGGTTCCTGAGAGTAGAGACTCAGTATTCTAAAAATGCTTCCCAGTTCCTGATTAGTCCAACTCAATCCGTCAAGTGGGAGGCTGGGGTAGTGGCGGTAGGATTGGGGAGCAGGTAACTTTTTAAAAACATGTACACTCACTTGCACAATCAAAGATTCAAAAGAAAAATAATGACTTGAGCTCAGCATGTCATAAAAATGCTGATTTCCCTTTACTTAATTTACCGTGTCTCACTCTTCGGGGAGGAGGCTCACAAAAGTTTTTGGAGGCTTAGTAAACTGTTGCTATGCTCTGCATCCCCCTGAGAACTTTTGTAACTTTTTTAAACTTTGGATTTTTAAAATTTTTACTCTCTAATTTTTAATTGGTCTTTAATGCCTCAGAAACATCTGATTGAAAATAATAGTTGCCACGCCAGCTCCTCTTGTGCATACTGGAGCCCCTGGGTTGTACTGTGCCCTGGATGGGTATGGGGGAAAATGTACCAGAAACAGACAAGGAAACCTTTCCTGAGAGCCCCAGAAATATCCTGCACTGGGGACATCTTGATGGCTACACACCTACTTGGTTGAGAGGTAAGCACAGAAGGGAATTTCTAGTACCATGCAGTGGAAACTTTCTGTATTCTGTACAGTTACTCTCAGGCACATTTTTAGCCATAGAAGCTGCTATTTCTGCCTGTTGGACACAACCAGGCAGCTTAGAGCTTTCTCTAGGAGCTTCCCCAGATGTGGAAACATAAAATGAGCAGACACTCATTGTCATGGAGAAGACAGCTACAAACCTTCAGCTGTTCTTCACAGTATTCTCCTCAGACGAAAAGCTGCTTGCTCCGTGGAGTGAATTTATTCAGGGACCAACAAACCCTCAAAATGAAGAATGGACCAGAACGTGGCCTCTCCCTGCTTAATATCCATAGCTATCAGTATATCTTTCATAAATGGGCAGTCCCATCTAGGGACTGCTCTGCAGGTCATCAAACACCCTCAGGGGAGATGGCAAAAGTAAGTGACTTTCTGTGTGCTTTCATAATGATGAAGGCTTCAGGGATTTTTGTGATAATTTAAATTTATAGTTAAAAACATTGAGACTATGACAACTGACACCACCTTTTTTCTTCAAAAAGAACATTTATCCTCACTCTGTAGTGAGGCATCTATACTCAAGTTCAGTCAAACATTGTTTTCATGAGGACAAAAGTATTAGCCTTTTTTTTAAGTGTGGGAGAAAACTCTTGCCTCAGTTTCTTTACTAGGAAAAAATCAGGCTAATAACAGTGACTACCTTCTAGTCTTGTGAAGGTTAAATAATTTATGTAAGCTGCTTATGAGAATGCCTTGCATAAAATAAAGTATCTCATTATATCCATGATAATGGCAATGATAATTTGTAGGAGCTATTTGTCTGAGACTAGGATATGGAACAATATCAAAAGGAAAGAAAATTACATTATTTCCCCAAAAGTTTACCCACTGATCATATTCTGCATCTCAGTCATTAGGACTGTTTAAAAATGTTTTGGTTCATCTTTCCCAAGTACACCCTTATCTGTCTTTAAATTAGATATGACCAGTGTGACTTGCTTTGATCAATAAAATATCTTCAAAAGTCACATGTTACACCTGGGAGGAAGCTGTGAGAGCTAGTGTATAAGATGATTAGGGGTTTTTTCCCCCCACTACTACAGATTTTCTGGAAGCATGTATTGGAGACAAAATTTCCATCACCTGGGTCCTGAATGACATGATGACCCAGAACCATCTTTTGACCCATATTTGATATGTACATTGAGTCAGAAATAAATTCTGAAACCATTATTATTTGAGAGATGTTGTTTTGACAGCATCCTAATAGATAAGTCATGCTAATATGTATTGTTATTAGTACTATCATTGATATTTCAGATATTTGTAACATGTGTATAGAAAGAGACTTCTAAATGTAATAGTAAATTAGCATATATTTGGAAGCATTGTATTTGATCTTACAGAAAGAGTTACATTTGTGGCCCTCAAACAAATTTTTATATTTTAAACATGGAGCCACTGTTATGTGAAAAACAACACTGCATTTGTGCACACTCACACACGTGTATCTAAAAGGAACATGAAAGTACTCTGTAAAAGCAAGTTTATATTTTTCATTGGCTTAAACCTTGCCCTGCACTCCAGAGTTTCCAAACTTTTACTTTTTTCCCTAGTTGGTTTGGATGTAGAGCTCACATACCACATTTTTAAAATTCTAAGTGATCCAAAAAATTAACCCACATGAACATAATTGCTTCACTTGCGCCACTGTTACCATCTGTGTTGGCAATGAATCAATGTGACACTTTCACCTGGTGAAAATTACAGGCTTAAATCAACCAAAACATTGCAGAATGATCCCCAGTTTGTACATTTGTGTTTTCAAAAAATAGGAGATAGGTTGAACCATATCTAAAGCCATTATCAAATTGTTCAGCTAAATACTGACAAGTATTTAACCTCAAGTATAAACCTCAAAGCCTTGCTTGTTTCTCTTTGAACGTTATTTACCTGTCCAGTGCATTTCCTTCTCCTGGGGATGCTTCTGCTCAGGATTTGAAGACATTCTTCTTACCCAGATGGGACAGCAATAAGTTTCCTGACACGGCAGGATCTCACAGAAAGTAATTTCAGGTCTGTCTAAGGAGGTCTGCGTGGTGGCCAGAGATGTATGAGGCCCTGCGAGGCATTGAGCAGAGGGGAGGGAGGGCTGTTTCTTCTGTTGACAGTTCCAAGGGAAAGACAAGCTGGGTTTGAGGGGAAGGTGAGCTTTACCTGACGGGGTTGTGGTGGATGGCAGGACCACCTGTGGAGAGCTTGTGATATTACTGAAGGAGAAGACAAGACAGTTAATGAAAGATGTCTCCATGAACCCCTCTCCAAAAGGAACAAAAATCTCAGCAAAAAACAAAAGATCTGAATTCTCACCTTGGAGGAAGATTTGAAACATGCCGGTTTTGATCTTTTAAGCTCAGTATGTAAAGGAAGACTATTGTCAAGGCACTGTTAAGGGAGGGAAAAAAGCATTATGTGACAGATTTGTTTCCAGATATATCTCACACATCCAGCTGGCCAGAGATGTACTCTGAGAGGCCACACAGATGGGAGGAGGGGGAAGGGCAGCTGTAGCTGGCACAAACACCATGGAAACCAGCACAGTCGGGCTTTTCTGCCCTAGTGAGAAAAAGCCCTGAGCTCCCTGCAGCTCAGAAGCTCCTGGAGTACTCTATGCTGATGGATTTTTCCACGTAGCAGGCCCTGGCCTGGCAGGCTGTCTCAAAAGCATCTGTCACTAGTGGAAGATTACAAGAGGAAGCATGTAAATAGCTGGAGACAGCCCTCTGCTCCGTGCAGGAATGAGTCAGGCCAGAGATCACAACCCACTGGTGGAGGGCATCCGCACAGTGGCACTGGAAGATGAAAGGAAGCATCCACAATGGATGTCAAAGTCGTTGGCCTCCGCTCCAACATCTTCCAGCTGCCTGTCTTTCCAGAACACAATATACCACACTGGGCAGAGGAAGGAAAAGAAATGCAATAAAGCACACATTTCCACACCACATGACTTCAAAATAATGATGATGTCTTTCCTTCCAAGAATCTGTATTTCCAAATAGAAGCTTTTCTTAAAAGCTTCTGGAATTTGGAAGCTACTCCTAACACTGCTCACGCATTCAAACAGTTCATGTTCTTCTCTTTAAACCCTCTCATGAGTTACATGGGGAATTCTGCTAAGTGTAGTCTCACTGTGGGCTGGCCTTGCCACGGTTCACCTGCTTGACTTCATGCCAGCTGGGCTTCACACCTTAAGTCCAAAGTCAATTCCTCATCATTTTATTTCCCATCAAAAGTGGTGGATTAGGGGCTGGGGATTTAGCTCAGCGGCATAAGCGCCTGCCTTGTAAGCAGGCAGTTGTGAATTCGATCCCTGGTACCGATAAAAACAAACAAACAAACAAAAAAAAAGTGGTGGATTTCCCATCACTAAGTGTACATAAAGAAATGTGACACACATTTAATTCCACTCATGAAGAATGAAGTTTTGGTGTTCTTAGCAGCAGCTGATGACTGCCCAGCAGGCTCTGCCCTGCATGGGAAATGCATGCTGAGCCTAGAGAAGCATCAGACAGAACTCAGAGTACCTTTGCTGTGGTGTAGTCTTCTTTATTTGGTACTCTTGTGTCACCCCTTCTCCAACTCTCCATTACTAATCCTTAAATCTGATTTGTCTTTGGTGTATACCTCAGGGCACAGCACAGAAAACTCTAGGCTAGTGGTAGCAAACTTTTAGAGACTAAGTTCCCAAACTGCAATCCCAAACTCACTTATTTATTGCAAAGTCCAACACTTCAGTTAAACTTGAATACTGAAAAACAACTCATACATTTGGTCTGCATACTAACAGAGAGGGCTTTGCATGCCCTCTGCATCACGTGTGCCATAGGATGCCACCACTGCGCTAGGCCCAAAGGAAATGGACATCTGCTCCCTTCTTTACAGCAAACCCTGGTTTGACTCTTCTTAGTTACACCACCACCCAGAAACAAGATAATAAGCATAATACATCCCATTTTTGTCTTAGTAGTGGTCAACAATTTTGGAATTCAAAATAGTTGAAAAACATCTTTAAAAGCAGTCTCTTCACCCCGATCTAAATTTCCTTTCACCTTTCCATTTGGGTTGGAACCCACTATATAGAGAAGGTGAAGTGTGTCTGCTAGAACTAGCCACTCACCCTCTTCTGCTGGGGAATTTCTGTAGGAGAAGATAAATACTTAGGAAGGTGAGAAAAAGTACAAAGCCTCCTACTGGAATTTTTGTGGTGTGGCATCAAAGGCTTGGCCACGGTCCCACAGTGGGCAACAGTGAGTCATGCTCAGTGGCAGAGCTTATGTTTAGCATGTTCAAGACCCAGAATTTAATCCTCGGCAACCCCAATGTAGTGAAAATCCTGAGGGGAGAGAAGGGGCTAGGGATCTGCACTGCCTTCTGAGACTGGAAAGCTGCTGCGAATCGAAAAACAGGAAGCATCTTGAGACCCTAACTTGGCTCTCTAAAACAGAAGCCAGTCCTTTCCTACGATCACAAATGATTTTTCCTTTCACTATCTGAAAGGAAAGAGTCTCTAAAGATCCAGAAAAAGAACAAGCAAGACGGCCAGGGCTTAGCCGCCAAGGCAGCAGCAGGAGCCTGAAGACCAGAGGTCCCAGAAGGTCCCTTGTATTCTAACAAGAGATTAGTCCCAGCTCCAGGCAACAGGGATAAGGATGCTTTCTGCTTTTGCTTGGTTTAACTTCTCAGTAGATTTGGCTACAATTTCTATCACATTAGGTTCATTTCATCCATCTTGGTGTTCCTTTGGTATAAAGTCATCCCTAAAAAATCCTAATGAGTAGATTGCACATGACTTCCTACTTATTCTTGCCCCTCAAGTAAACAGAAAGGAAAACACAGAGTTGGAGAAAATAATTTGCAAAGCTAAGAGAAACATAAACACATGCACAGCGCCTAGTTTGGTACTAAAACCCAACTGTTGATTGTTTAAAAATCCATGAGTTCATATTTAAGCACAGAAAGCCTGCTTTTTTTCTCCAAACTGTGAGTTTTAAAGATTCTGAGCCACTGATGTGCAAATCCCTGGTATATGTGCCGCAGCAGGCACGCAGCCCTCTGTGTAAGCCAAGGGTATGAGCTGGGTTTTTTTTTTCCTAGACTAAAACCTCAGTGTTCAGGTTTAATTGCAATGTTGGCACTTAGCAATAAATAAGTGGGTTTTGCGTTGCAGTTGGGCACTTGGTCTCTAAAAGACTCACCATCCCTGCTCTAAGTTAGTTTTCAAAGGTAGATTCCTGGTTAAAGGCTCCTAGTTTTCAGAGTAAATAGAAAGTCAGTTTCCAATTCAAATATCAGGGAAGTAAAAGGTGGGAAAGAAGAAAAGTGGTGTTAGAGCACATTGAAGTTTTTCTTACCAAAATGCCATCACAGCGATTAGAGTTATTATCATGGTCTGGAAAATCCAGTTAGGACACAACAGTTTTTTTCCTGAAAAATAAACCTATACAAGGTTCGTTAATGCAGAGTGACAACTCAGTACAAAAGCGTGAGAAGGAAACCTGGGGTCTGCTCCCAGCAGAGGTCTTTCTTGCCTGTGCTTGCCTCAGTTTCCACCTCTACTTCTTTCATTCAGAGTCTTCCCCAAGCCCCACTCTTCCCTTGGTACCCCAGGCTGCAGCAATCTTTCGTTTCCCTGAAACCCTGCAGGACAATTATCACTGCCATTTACTGCATGAGGTACTTATCCTTGCAGTTTTATGACAGAAGACACTGCCAGACCCAGATGTCCATCTCTTAATAGAATCCTTTTGGAAATCAGAAGGTCTTCCAGTTAGAACAAGTAAATCCTAGTGAAAGGTTTCAGACATCGTAACAGATCATAGAAAAGACTTTTGTGACACAAAATCTTACTAAGTACTACTTATAATAATACATCAGACTATTTATAAGGACAGCTCTGAGCTGGTGACTTATTTATTCAACAAATACTTACTGAGCACTACTACACACAATGCTATAGGAGATATGAAGATTAGGAAATTGCCAGTGAAGTAAATGCGACACACATTTACTAATACATATTGACATAAAAAATTGTACATAGAAAATGGATCAATTTCACATGATGACCAGCTGTGAAGCTTGAGGAAATTCAGATAAAAGGTTCTCTGTCCACTGAAGGTGATCCTTAAACATGAGTTTCCTACTGAGATTCCTGCAGTCTAGAATCATGCTTTCAGTCAGAAAGGTATTAGCAGGGTGGTAGCAATTACAAAATACCTTTAAGCAGGTCTTTAATTGTATTTCTTGGGTTTACTGTCTGATTTTTTAAAAAGAATTCTTTGATGTAAAAATGAGGTAAGATTAATCACATACTTTTGAACAATTACACAACCTCTTAGGACTAATATAACTCAATCATTCATAAATATCGCTGAAAACCAGTCTGAATACTAAGAAGTCAATGGTTAACATAATTCCTATATCTCACTGGAACTGTTCTATGAAATTTATTGAAGTGATTGCAGTTAAATAGTATTCAGAGAACAAGTGCTTCCCCTTCTGACCTATACTTCACAGCTGCTAGAGTTTTTTAAATCTCCACTATTTTGCTCAAAATCCTTTGACCAAGCATTAAAAAAAATGGCCTATGCCCTGGAGTCAGACTGGGAGTTAGATTCTCAACAAGTCATCTACATGTCATTGGCCTTCATTTGCCAAACAATAAAATAAGAATACTAAATAATACTTGCCTACTTTTCAGAGTTATTCAGTGATTCAGTTAATACCCAATTACTTTAAATAGTTCTCCAATTCATACATGTGTAATAATACTATGGCGTGTACTGAAAATCTAAAGATGTTGGAAAATTCTGTTTCAACAGGTCTTATTTGGAGTGGACTAGGGGCTGGGAATCTGTGAGACGTGGGATAATGACAAGTATTTCTCTATGCTCATTTCTCCCTTCTCCTCATCTCCCCCACATACTCTGAGTTCTAACTTGAACACTGAGGGTCTTCCCACCTCAGTCCACTACTGCATTCCTTAGCAAGAATCAATAACCTACTTCTTAGAGGTGGAGAAAAAGAGCAAAGAAAGAACTAACTAATGGGTTGGGTGAGTGCTAGATCAGGAGAACTCATCTTCCTCCAGAACGTGTCTTGACCAGCTCTGGGAGCTGTGTGGAAGTCAAGGCAGGTCCTATCCAGGCTTTCTACCATCTCATAAGGCCCATCGACTGCCCACAGCAAGCACTTTGCTCACTAGCAGCCCCCACTGAACTCTAGAATACATTCCCCCACCTAACCTTGTATATTTTAATGACCCAAGAAGGCCCCAAAGAACAGAGATCACCTAGTGGTTGATGGTGGTATAGGAGGGAGAGTAAACTTCATAGAAAAATCTGAGCTCTCCTACCAAGCAAAATATAGGGGAGCAAATCACTCCACTTTTTATACTTTATCAGTTCCCTGGAAGAGTCTAACACACACCAAAATACACAAATGACTAAAATAGAAGGCTTGAAAACATTAACAGCTACCAATATATACCTAGCACCCATACACTCCTCTGAGTGCTTTACATATACTAATGTACACAACGATCCTCACAATCATCCTTAACAACACTACAAGGAGGTGAGTATTTTTACCATCCTCTGGGATTTTACAGACAGGGAAAAGGAGGCACAGGAAGGCTAAGTTCCTCATCTAAGATCACACTGCGAGTAAGTTACAAAGATATGATTTGAGATGAAATAATTTTGTCCCACAGTCTAAGTCATTAAATATAATGCTATACTGCCTCCTTTTTCCTGTCTGTAAAAAAATGAAGCAAACACAATAGAAAGGGTCTTCATGGCTTGGCAAATGAGCTCCTTAGCTGGCGGTCCAGGAAATCAGAGTCTAACATGTATCTTCAGCCTTATCTTCACTATCCTCCCTGACTTCCACTTTCTCCCTCAACAAAGCCAGCTCCAGAATTCCACTGGTTTCATCTGAAACCTCTCCCCCTCACCCTCATTGGATTCTCAGCTCTCCAGCCAAAGCATACTCTGCCTTTCAGGCCAGGCTGTTGCAAAATTCCTGCAGCACTGAGACTCTGCTGTATATACCACATCTAGGTAAAACTGTTCTTTGTATTTTCTCCCCCTCTTCCCTTAGCTGTCCTATAATTCCTTAGGAGCAGAGATCACAGCTTCACAGCTGACTTATCTTGGCCTCCTGTTGGCCCCTCACAAAGATTGCAAGTGTTGAAGTTTAATGATTACATAAATTCTGGAACTGGTGACCATACCCCAAGTTCCACCTCATCCATACATCTAAGACACTGAACTACTTAATGTTTTTATTTAAACTGTGAGCCCTCAGAGAAAATCTTCAGACTGAGATCTCTATTCAAATATTCATTTCACAAGTATTTCTTGAGTGTCCACTATGTGCTAGCCCCTGGGGACATACAGGGAAGGCAGATCCAAGGCTTACATTTCCGACCATACATTTTTGTTAATATCCTGAGATAAGTGCAAAACAAAGAAAAATTTTATTTTCCTAGTGTAAAGTAGAAACAACAGAGATTGGAGATAACCAAATTACATCTATCAGGGTTGTTGTGGATGTATATACATTCCCACCATTCTACTGTAAATTGTTAGTACGAAGGACATCTCTCCTACACATTTTTAGTATTTGGTGTTTGTTTGTACAGACACTGTGCAAAGAGCTTTAGCAATCTTATCAATGATTTTTGTGAGACAGACACTATAATCTGTTTCCCAATGTGACATCGGGAAAATTGCCCAAAACACTTCTGCAAATGTATTTGTCCATGTGTTTGTTTTTATTGGTATACCAAGAAGATTTTCGGTGGCATCATATTTTGCTAGTTTTTAGTAGAAGAATTTTGAACTCTTTCTGAATCCTTTTAGAATAGTTTAACATATTGTTGCATGAAGACAATAAACTGAGCCGCATCCTGAGTATCAGGTCAGCCATTATAAGGTACCAGATAAAGCCATGCATAATCACTTCTGAAAGGCCACCCTTGGCCAGTGATAGATCAGAGGGAATGAGCTGAGTTTCACAGCTGTCTGTGAATTGCAGCTAGGAAGAGATTAACAGCTTCTCTCTGTAACACATCTTTGTAACAGAAAGGGCATCCTTCCAGTTAATAAACAATTAGCTTTCACTTTTTACTAGAAATGTTAACTAACGTCATGTAAGTTGCTTTTATTCATTAATGAAAACATCGCATTTTAACCTTTGAAAGCAAGTGAATATCTATCCTCCTATTTTCATACTTAGTATTACATATCAAAGTGTAAAACGAGATTTGAGGATTAACTGAAGCCAAATATGAGGGATCAGGTAAGTCAGGCCATACACATGGACTTTGCAGCCCACGGCTACATGCAAGTGGAAACTCTTGAATTTCACCTGATAGGGATAATACAAACAAGCAAATAAACAAACAAAACCTGGCAGGATAACATTTCTGAAATGGATATGTTTTGGACACCTTTCTCAAAATGTTCACTCTTTTAAAATATGCATTAAAGGGCTAGTAAACACCTAGAGTATTTAAGGATTAAAAACTAGGGGAATTGAGCTGGGCGTGGTGGCTCACGCCTGTAATCCCAGCACTTGGGAGGTGGGAAGATTGTTGAGAGTTCGAGACAGCCTGGGCTAGAAAGTGAGCTCAAGGCCAGCCTGAACTGCACAGCGAGACCCCGTCTCAAAAAAGACAAACAAACTAAAGGATCTATCAACAAATAAATGGAGGAGAGATTCTTAATCAATTTTTCTAAGACATTATTTTGCATAGAAAATATTATCTCTTTCATAAATTGAAGTCTCTTTACCTTGTTGGAGTTTTTGGGAATAGCCCTTCTTGGAGAAGATGTACTAACAGCTCTGCTAAGTTTGCTTTAAAAAAAGAGAGAGAAAATTGATTACTATTCACATGCCTTTCCAGGAGTTATATGACAAAAGCTCAGGCTGCCACAAACAAGGCAGTATGGTTTTCTTTTGTAATAGAGTGATAATTCGAAAAAATAAAACAAAGCAACTGGAATCTCTCTGTGAAGAAAAAGCCTTTATTAAGCATAAATGAATGCATTTACCATTACATTTCTCTTTTTCTCAGAACTAGACCCCAGGACTTCCTTCCTTAATTATTTCCTTCCTTAATTAATAAAAATAAATAAGTTTTTCCCTCCTGAAAATTGAACATTGTTTTCTACACTAAGAAATACGGCTTCTCCTTATGAAAAGAGAAGGCATTCTTTTGCTAAAATTTAGCTCTTGCTTGTATAACAACTTCTATTACAAAGATGTCTCATGTTTCATTTTTAAGGAAGCTGCAGAAAAAAATTTAAGAAAATTATTACATAAGGCAGTTGAGCTCTAAAATATTCTAAGAGAAGGAAAAGGATTTTGTTATCCAGTAGACCGTACAGTCTGATCTAGTTATGGAAGGAGCCCACTCTTTCTTTCCTGAAACTTCTATGAACATGCTGCACATACCTGATTGAACTTGCTTGGCTGGCTGAGGACTTGGAACTACTGAGCCGCTTTAGCCTGGCCAGCTTCCTATTCCATATTTCTAATTCTTCTATTCTTTCTTCAAGGTTGTTGGTTAATTTGCAGAGCTGCTTCACAGCCCCTACATTTTCCATGAAGATTTGGTCCTAAAAAAAAGAATAGAGGGCACATAAATTTATCGTTTGAGGCTACCAGGAAACTTGCGATATCCCATTCAAAGATAGAGCACACCATTGATAATGGTTATACACTTAAACCTTCAAGCTCATTCAAGATAAATCTAGAGTAGTTTGAAACTTGAAATAGTCTTGCTAAACTGCTGGCTGTGATGTAAAACTGCTTCTGTTCCATTTGCAATAAAAGGGAAATATGTCCTTGTAACTTAGGAGACAGATTGGAGCTGAAGGATATGGTTGAGTTTGGAATCCAAAGATTTATTTTCAATGGCTATTATGCTATATTTAAAACCCATAAAAAGAAAGACAGAACAGACTTACAAATGTTGATTTGTGTGCTCATCACTAAATCTCTATTTTAAAAAAATGATCCCAGCTTTCCCGGTTAAAATTGTGCATCAAATTGTACAAGTGAAAGAGACAGAAATGAAGCTCTGAGCTTTTCCTCTGAGTTCTGCAACCTACTAAATGAGAGGCCTTGGGAAAAATGTAAGAAGAATTTTAGACTTCAGTATCTTCATATATAAATGAGAGAGCAATCCTTGAGGTGCTAATTTCTGCTTTCACATCTTATATACAATGTATATTTTAACCCAGCATTTTTACCCAAACAAAAATTTTAAAAACACAATTCTTTCTGTTCAAACAAAGTCACTGACACATAGAAAGAGGAAACCAGCTAAAGCCAGAGAGGTTAGGCCATGACCTTGTCTACCCACATTCTACAGTTGTCATGTGAACGTGTGCATCTATCTCTCATCTAAAAAAATTTTTTTAAAAAACTGGGAAACTCTTGTGAGGTCACGCCCTTACCCCATGACTTCTCTTTTTTCTCTTTCCTCTTAAAAGTTCAAAGTTTCGCAACACTCCCCGGGTATCAGAGAGTCTTGTCCACTAGACTACTACTGTAAAGTGAAAAGCCCAAAACCAGTGACTCAAGAGTGTTTATAGGCAGGAGGTCAAACTCCATGCTGCATGTGTCAGAGATTCTCATCACACACACACTGGAACTCAACGTTTCCAACACAGGAAAGCAGGAACTCACAAAGAATCAACAGCTAAACACTACAGATTGTTAAGGCTGAGTTTATGTAGTTTAAAGACAGATGTGTTTCGTGAAGGACTCTCAGACTCCCAGATCAGCCGCAGTGATCTAATGAACCAATCTGAGCATTTCTGACCCCCATGTGTGAGCCTCTATTCTAGCAGTTACCTCTGATGAAAATGTCCTCAAGGTCAGTCCAAGTCTCATCAAGCCCAAGACTTTGCTAGATGCCACTCACCAGATGACACTTTGTCATCTACGAGGTCCTCACAGTATGCTCAGTTCCATTACTTGGCCATTTGTCCTGTCTCAAGTGTGGCATGCTTGCCTCCCTGTCTGTGTTGTGAGTTTGGGAAGGCAGCCATCCTGAACCCTTACTTGATCATCTCACCAGTGATTAGTACTCGACTTTACCCAAGACAAAAGCTCAGTAAAAACACAGGAAAGTGAACTTAAAGGTGCTGAGTTAACAGTTTAGACAAATAGGCAGAAATCTTTCCTATTTAGAAAGTAAAGTGACAAAGCTTCATAACTGAGGTCTATATTTACTTCAACACTTTTTATTACAAGTCAGCAGAAAACCTTATTGTTTCATTAAACTATTATACACAAATTCGTTAAACTATTATACAGTAGAATTTTTTAATATCTAGCAAAATTATATGTGTTATTTTTATTTGGGATCAGTAATTTCACTTTTTTAGGAATCTATTTAAATCCCTGGGGAAAAGTAAGAAAAAGGGTTAGTGCCCTCGTCGTGGGCCAGGAGGAGAACCACCTCTCTTGAGATCTGGCCATGGTGGGACTTTGGCAGCTTATTCTTCTGCTCTCTTGGTAAGCACCCCTGGAGTGGGCCAAGAGGAGAACCAGTGGCTCGGGGAGCCTACCTGCACGAGCTGGGAATCAAACACCCTCCCCCACCCTGTAGCTACTAGGGATAGATGTCTCAGCATCTCTTGGGAGGATGACCATATGCAATATAGCAAATATGGGGGATTTCCTTCTGTCTTCTGTTTGAAGGCAAAGGTTGTTTTCACTGTTTTGTTTTGTTTTGTTATGTTTCTTTTGCTCTATCCAATACTCTCAATTGGTTTTATAATGTTCTGTTTTTGGTTTGATTTCACTTACACCTACTTGACTAGACAACTATTGTGAAGATAACGAGATATATCATAGTATCTATTACCACCATCTCAGTATCCTACTGTGAACTTCTGTGCCAGTTTCACTGCATTGTCTCCATCGGCTCTGTTCTGTCTTGTTCTGTTGTATTTTTATTACTTTCAAAATAAAATTTTAAAAAAAGAAAAGTAAGAAAAAAATCCTAGACTGATATCCACTCAAGTATTCATTATCAAGAGCTTGATGATAAGCTGTAGTGTTCACACAGCAGTGTAATAAGAACTGTAAAGAGGAATCGTGATGTGTCTGTATAAAGTCTAGGATATAGTAGTAGATTAGAAAAAAGGTGCAGAACACCATGTGTGGTACTCTACTTTCTGTCTAAAATGAAACAGAATACTAAAAAATCAAAATCCCACATATTTTCTTACATTAGAAAAAGAAAAATAAAGGGCTGGGGATTTAGCTCAGCGGCATAAGCGCCTGCCTTGCAAGCAGGCAGTCGTGAGTTCGATCCCCGGTACTGATAAAAAGGAAAAAAATTCATTTAAAATTTTTACACAGCATGGGAAAGAAGAAAATGTGAGTGAAATGGATTGAAGCCAGACTCTCTGAATGTACCTTGCTTTATAATTTATCTTCAGGACAATGTGGGTATGTTAGATAAAATATAATTTAACCAAAGCATCCCACAAAAATAAGTAAATAAACCTAATTTGATACTGAATTTCCAGTTTAATCTTACAAGGAGTACTTGTTTTCAATGCCTTCAAAGTATATTGGAAATGGTAGCCCACGCCTACAATCTTAGCTTTCTGGGAGACTGGCACAGGAGTATCAAAAATTCAAAACCAGCCTGGGAAACTTCGTGACCTAGTAAGAGCCTATGTCAACATAAAAACATTTTTAGAAAAGAGGAGGGGATATAGCTCAGGGCAAAGACCCTGAGTTCAGTCCTAAGTATCACAAAACAATAAATCTTCAAAACGTGGTAGTTTAATGATTCTTAGATGGGTATATACTAAAGGGAGAAAACATAAATGATGTGCAAAGAAAATATAAATTGTTTAATAATCATATTGCTAGTAATAGTAGTGATGGATTATATGCACATGCACCACATACATTATAATTGGTTAAAATAAATACGCAATTATGTCAGGAACCACAGCTTTTATCATTTAAGAAAAGAAATATAAATTCAAAACATTAAGTAAAATCTAACAAAACTAAACTTAAATTAGCAATATTACAATCAATTCCTGCTATATTCTATTTGAAAAAATGATATATAATATTTTTTCTAACTATATCCACTACAAAAAAATGGGAAAAAATATTTCCCCACCTACTAACAATGAGTAACATCATGCTGTTAAATAGTCACTAAATGGTATTCCCACCAAAAGGACTCAGCGCTCATTGGAGAAGTAGGGAGTCCATGTTTGGGGTTGGAACTTATGGCTTGAACCTGGAACAGCTTACAATATGTGAACACAGAGGCAGCATCACAGAGTTTTGTAGTTGTCAAAATGACTCAGGGCCAAGACTTTTCATTGATTAAAAACAGAACATCAAAGGACTAGTTACTGTAGTAGATCCAAAAATTAAATATCTTTTTAAAGCATCCAGAATCTTTTTTGGAAAACATTTAAATAAAGAATGAAATTGTATCCTACCTTTCCTGCATATCAGCTACATATTTGATAGGGGAAGTTCTTCATTTTAGAAAAATTTCAGAAAATAAAGAAGAAATGATTTAAAAAGGGCAAAACAATGGATCTTGGCAATGAGTATTAATGGCTACTAAAACCCTATGCCTGTATATATACAAATACTGGAGAAATTTCAGCACCACTTGGGATTTGATGATATTAAAGAATTTCTATGCATTTGTATGTATGATAATAGTATTGTGGTTCAGTTCTTATGAGATGCTCCTTTCATTTTTAAAAAATGTTAATGTATATATAATAAAATGATACAATGTTGAGGTTTTCTGTAATAATATAGTTGGGGGAGAATATTTGGTAGGGGATTAAATAGGATTTTTTTATTAAAAAAAGATTAAGATAAAAGAGGACATAACAAAACAAGTCAGAATAGAACAGTTTAAGCAGCATAGTGTTTCACCACAAGACAATCCGACACAACAGTAGCTACCATAGTGTCTCTTTCCTTGAAATAATTGAGTATACCTTCATATACTATAGTATCAAACATAAAAAGACACTGTACAAACACTCAATACTCAATAGAATGAAAGTATTACAGGGTATTCAGAATCAACTAACAGAAAACAAAAAAAGGTTACTATATTACCTCCTTGTCTATGACATATTTTGTTTATACTATCACATATAATAAAATCCAATAAGATACATGATAAAACTGATGGAGACAGAACAAAAGCTTGGTGGGACTTCAAAACAAGATGATATTAAGTCAGCACTAGCTATTATAATGTCTTGTTTTCTTCAAAATAGCTGTTCATACCCTCACAGACAATAAAATCAAACAACCCAGAATAAAACCATTTCATTTAAAGAATGAAAACATTATAAGTCTTCAATATAATGGGGAACTGTGATTATGTATTCTTATCATTTCTTATACTAGGGAAACTATTCAGTATTTATACATGTGAGTTTGATTTATTTCGCTTATGAGTATAGTCTCAAGCTGCGTCCATTTATTTATAAATATCTTAATGTGATCATTTTTTATAGCTGAGTAGTACTCCATTGTATAAAAATACCACATCTTTTTTATCCATTCCTCAGTTGATGGACACTTAGGTTGT